CTTTCTTTCTTTCTTTCTTTCTTTCTTTCTTTCTTTCTTTCTTTCTTTCTTTCTTTCTTTCTTTCTTTCTTTCTTTCTTTCTTTCAATCGTTTTTACCAGACACACAAGTTCATTTCGGTCCTTATTTGGCATATTTCATTTGCTTGTAAAGAAACAATTAGTTTTATTGTTGATTTAATGAAATCACAGTTCTCAGAGTTGAAAGGGAAGAAGAGGTTTGAAAAAGAAAGCAGAGAAAGAGAACAGATTTTTTTCTTTCGTTTTTTGATTCCTCCTTRAATCAAACCCAAGGGTTTGGATATGATAAGAGCAGCTAGGTGGAGATGTGCTGGGGCACAAAAGCAGAGTCAGGTTGTATTTCGGTGAAGGAGCATTTTCTTTTGTGTTGTTATCTGAAAGGCAGCAGCGATAAGCAGACTTGAAACAATGCAGATAGAAGGAAAGACATGGACAGAMAGGAGCAGGCTGTCAGATAAAAGGGAATACAGAAGCAGACAGTCTGTTTGAATGACAGGAGACTGACCTAAATGATGAGATAGACAGCACTGGTGTGGTCAGGATTATTACAGCAAACTATAAAATWAATACGAACATATTGTGGTGATCTCAAATGTACAGTAACTGGACTGTGCAGTAAACAATTGGCTTTCAACTGGGTTGTGACTGACTTGTTTTTTCTTCTTCTTCTGAATTTGAAGTAAATACGTCTTGTCAGCTGTGCTCTACTTCAGGATAATTATTTCTAACTTTTTTTTTTCCTGGTCTTGAAATGTTCTTTAAAAAGTGAAACTGTGCCTCATGTGAACTTGAATGACATTTCATTTCTTAAACTCAAAGAATTTTCACGTTTCAATTGTAGAATTTTGTTATTGCATAAAAACAGCCTTGAAGGTGTCTTCCAGAAATAGAAAATTCCGTTATAAAAAGAAGGTGAAATCCCTGTTTTTATGAATACAAATTGTGACCAAAGTCCTAGGTGTTATTTGATAAACAATTCTACTTTCAACATGTTATTAGCAGCGTTAATTGCTTGCATTCACAAGCATGTTGTCTCTGTCCTTAATCGGTAACATCTGTCTGTTTTAAAGCTGAATATGTGATGAACACCTTCTATAATGAAAGTCAGAGCCAAGTTTCACAGCAGGTGAACTTCTAATTGGCTTCATGTTGCCAAAGCTCTCTGTTTTCAATGCTTATACATATACTAGATCTAGCTGGGATCTACAAGAAGTTTAAAGGCTTATAAGAACTAAATTCACAACAATATTTTCATATGGAGATTTGGAGAAAAAAAGTAACTTTGCTAAATTAATCATCTTTATATGTGCATGTGATCATTATTTTTTTTTTTAACATCTGGTGGCGAATTCCCAATAAGGGGTAAGGTTCAAAGTTATGAAGCTGGACAAACTGATGTATGAGCACACCTTCATGATTGTAAAGTAAAAACGTTGCAGAAGAATAGTCAAAATCCTGTCAGGAGCTTCAAAGAGAAGCAATGAATTTGGTTGAAGAAGCTCAGAGGAGAACATTACAGTTTTACTTGCTGCTCTGTTAGGGTTGTTGCTCAAACACATTGCTTATTGTACCTGCATTGGGATCCACCAAAATGAATTAGACTTCTTGTATTTGACTTTTAAATAGCTAGATGTTGACAACATGTTGACAAGTGAAAGCTATTTGTACACAAATGTAACAGTGGATATTACCACATAATAAACCAGAGTGATTGTTTCGATGTTGATCAATCATTTGACAAAGTTGAGTTTTGACTTAATTAAATTAATCATTTAAAGTATTTTATGGTCCTTCATCAAGATGCACCTAAAAGTATTTATTGAAATATTGCATTCACAGAGATACATAAAAATAATAAAAATGTATATGTATTTGTTAAGTAAATTATTTGTATCCTCAAATTGCCATTGACACACTTAAATTAAAAGTCTCTAAAATAGAAATGCAATATTCATTTATAAATAATTCTTGATATAATGAAAGGATCTTTAATTGAATACCTTGATTATAAACTAGCATTTCATAGTTTTAGGAGTGGTAAAAACAGAAATGGAGTGACACAGTTTTGCTGAGTTCAGTGAAACAGACAATGCAGAGAGGTAAAGAAGACTATTAAGGATAGGTCATATTAACTAAATTGTCTAAAATTGGCTTGTATAATTATTGGCTTCCAAGAAAATAAATTTTAAAAAAGGACTACACCAAAATGGTCTTTTTGATTTTATCAAGTTGCATTTTTTTTCTCTCCCTGAGATAGCTTTTACCTGCGAGGGAGACAAAACTTTGGAAACAAATTAAAAGAGTGGGTGCTGTGGTGATGAGATACATAATATTTTACGCTGGATTAGAGCCTAATCCTCGGCTAATCCCCTGAGAAAGGTAAATAGCTAAATGTCAGCTAGTATCCTGTTAAACATGCAAATTACAGCAGCCCCTCTGTGTGTTCCACTTAACCCATCTCCCTGTTTCCACCCTTTTATTATAGCAATGATTACATTTGAACTGTTTTGTTACATACCTCAAAGCTAAAATGACAGGACTCCATCTTTAAGTAAAAATGTACACATTTATTGCTGCATCRTGTACTAATGCATACGAATGATGAAGCTGTAGTTTCTTCACAGATTGTCAATCTACATAAATAATTACTGATCATAAAAAGGTTGTCTGTATTCAACAAGTCAAAGCCCATTTCTCTGCCTTTAAAAATAAACTTAAAAAATGTTAGCAGTAAAATATTTTATTACTGTGGTGCATTCTCTTGAAAGAATACAGTATTATGAAGATGGCAGATTTGGACCGGCTCTATCTCACTGGGCTGTGACTGCAGAAGTCTTGTTGACTCAAAATAGAATAAATAAATAAATAAATAAATAAATAAATAAATAAATAAATACCATACAAATTTTCAGCTGCAGTCTCACATAATTCTGAATGTTTTATGGTCTACCTTTGTGTCCACAATTTAGAAAAATGTGTTCTAGGAAATGTACCTTTTTTTCCTGCCTCTTCACATTATACCTGCTTCAGCGAACTTATTTTGGCGACTGCCCCAAATTTTCTGATTTAATCTAGTGGGGTATATGGGGTATATGTTTTAAATAAAACAAGGCAGTTTGGGCAAGATGATATATACATATACACTCACCGGCCACTTTATTAGGTACACCTGTCCAAC